TGTATCCTGAAGATTGGCAAAATTCTCGGTCCTTTCCAGATGATTCCTGTGTTCAAATTATTAGAGACTAAAATAATAGCGTGTGTCCAGAGTCTCACTTCACAGGATGGTTAAGCACGTGCCTGTTGTCATACTCATGAATGATCTTGGTAAAGTCACATTCCTCTGTGCTGAAGTAACTTGGAGGATCTGGCTTTGAGTGATTCGTCGCGGTAACTCCTTGCATTTGCCTCTCCTGTTATCCCTTTCATTTGCTTTTACAGTTTGCGAGATATTTTAAAAAAAAAAAAAAAGCCTCCATGGAAAGCAAGAGAAAATCGGTTTTGTATTCTGTAGAAGCACCGTTGGAAAATGAATGACTGTTTCTGAATCCTGTGGGCTCCCCAGAATTATATTTTGTTGTTAACATTTGAGAAGTGAGTGGAAAAGGAAAAAAAAGAAAAAACCCAATAAATATTTCAACAGCCTATTTCATGTGGCGTTGCTCCGTGCCAAGCTCTCAGTCCTGACTTGCACAGATTAGGCAGCCATTCAGGGACTCGTGTAGTGCTGGCTTCAAAAAAAGGTGACTACGGGGACAGCAGCAATAGCGGGTGGGTGGAGGGGGAATTCCTTTCGGCTGTGTTGAGCCACATACGTTTTTGAGACGGTACTTTTGTCAGAAAAATATTACTGCTCCTGTTGCAGCTGCTTCTCCCTTTTCAGGGAGCTACAGGCAGAGATAAATGGTATTTAGGTGAAGGATAGCATGGACCATGGTAAAAGTAGCTGCAGGGAGAAGAAATGTTCTCTTTGACTCATGAAAAATGGGGAGATCTAGAAAATCCCCCCGGAACTCCCAGCTTTTCACTGCATTTTTCCGCAGCCTGCAGCATTGTACTGTCTCTGTGTAAAAGCAGATAAACAGGAGGAGGCTGTCTGAAAGGATGCTGGGTTTACGCTGGCGCTTTTGATTATTTAGAAATCTCTCGCTTTTTGTTCCATTTGTTGGATTGAGGATCGGTGGAAACTTTCACAATGGAAAATCCCAAGGCTTGGCAGGAGCGGAAGATGCAGTTTGGGAAGCCGGTTTGTTGCAGGATTCACTTCTTAAATTTTTCAAACCAGACCCAGGACGGGTTTTGCCACCTCCCGGATTATATACACCAGACAAAACTCTCAGTGATTTGTAGATTCCAGGAGCATTGAGATTGTTGGAAAAAGAGATTTTCTGTATTGCTGAAGCGTATAGTTTTGCTTTGAATGCAGATCCTGCGAACGCAGAGCTGGCCTGTGTGTTTTTGCACGTGCTTAAACCAGCACAGTTCCTCCGTGCTGGTGTTTTGAAATCGCTGTCCGTGACCGGAGCAATCGATACATACAGACGCAGACACTTAGCGTCGAAATGGTTGCAGAACCATGTTGCTGTACAGAGCTTGGTTTTTTGGTTTTTTTTTTTTTGAGGCTTGTCTTTTTTGTCTTCAGCCTGCCCTGGTCCAGATGTGAAGTGAGTGGGAGGTGATACCAAAGTCAATTAAAAATACCAATGCTTATTGCGATAGGAGGCCACTTTCTGTGCAACCGAGACACCCTCTGGAAAAAAAATAAGCGCTACAGTAAAGCACGGAGCAACTTCTAAACTGAGCTCGTGGTCGGGGAGCTCTCAGAGGTGGTGTTGTGGTGAGAGATCCCAGTGCTAACATCAGTAGCCCAGTAAATACCGCCCTGGGGCAGTTTGGAATGAACCTCCTCGCTTTTCCTTGCTTTTCCTCTGTCGGCAGGGCTGAGCGATTGCAATAGGGCAAAGCCGCTTGCTGGCTTCTCGTTCAGCGAGACCATCCCAGGACTCCGAAAACTTTATCAACGTGCTGCCACGCTGAACAGGGTCTTCAGTGAACGGGGAAGCACCGGCAGGTACTGGAGCGGGAGAGAGAGCAAACAGCTTTGCACTGATGTTCTCCACCTCCTCGACTTCAGCACCGACGTTTCTCCTCCCCTCCGCTCTTGCCTTTTATCTTGGGCGTGGAAGGGTCTGGGAGGAGAGATCCTCGGAGGTGTCTGGCAATCAGCCGTTCACTGGTTTGAAGTGGGGCTCAACCCTCCTGAAAATCTAGACAGATCTTCAGGTAAGGTCAAAAAAAAATAGTTCATGGGTTGCCGTTCCCAAAAATACTCGGCCCTGCTGCGTTACAACACCGGTCGCTGAGCCTGGCGCTCTGCTCACAACCTGAAACCGCTGTTTGTGTTGCCCAAACCTTGCCTCCCTTGGCTGTATCGTCTGCGATCCGTCCAGTAACGCTGCACCCTCGGCACTTTGTCTGTAAAGCATCCGAAACCTGCGGGGTAGTGCTTGGGCGTTTACTCCGACCTTTGCTGTTGAATACTTGGCCGGTTTAGGCCAAGCTTTACCAGTCTGGCGGGGTGACCTCTTACCACGCGCTGCTGTTTCCAAAAGGAAAATATGTGTGTGTGTGTGTGTGTGTGTCAGTTCTCCGGAGACCGCGCTCTGTGTCCCGTGTCAGCCTCACCCTGTTCATGTCTTGTTTCGGTGTCCGTTTTCTCTCACCTACAAATAAAGCATTTGTGAAAAGCCTGGAGTAGGAACTCCTCCTTTCCCTTCAGCTGCGGTACTCGGGCTCCTCGGAGCAGCCTGGGGAGGAAGGCTGGCGCTCCGGCTCTTCCTGGGACATCCCCAGGGCCAAACCCAAGCCTTGGGTTCTTCCGGTGACTCACGGAAACCTCTCATCATCCAAAATATTCCCCCATCCCTTCTCCGCGCTCCAGTGTGGGAAGGAGGGGGGGGGAGGGGGATGCTTTAGCCACAGCTTTTGCTTTTTTTTTTCCCTCCTCTCTGTGACCCATGGCTCCCACGTGCACAGAAACATCTGAAAGTAATAAACCGCGGCGCTCTGGCTGTTAACCTGTGCTGCGTTGGACCCTCTGTTTTATAACGCCCTCAATGCTGGGGTGCTTGTTCCTAGCTTGGAATTTGGGGAAATTTGCTCTTGAAATTTTGCAGGCTGCTTTACATTGAAGCAGGTTTAACAGGGCCCAAAAGGGGCTCCTGGAGCATCCTCCTACGGCGAGGAGCTGGAGCCCTGTGCTCCACCTTCTGCTCCCGTGCCCACATGCTGCTCCCAGCTCATCCCCCTACGGAAGGGTTAATCCAAGGCTGGATAAGCGCAGCCAAGGAGTGATAAATGCACATTTTTGAACCCAAAGCAAGCAGGAGAGCCCTGGGAGAGGTCTGCCTGGTGTTTCTATCCCCCTCTCCAATTTTTTTTGTCTGTTTTCTTCCAGCTAGCAAAAAGGCTGAGAGGTGACGGGGTGGCCTGGACCCCCCTGGGGAGCTGGATCTCCCCAGGCTGCTGTACCCACGGCCTCTCCATCCAGGAGGATTTTAATCTCATCCAAACGTCGCATGGATGGATGCATATGGAGTCGGGAAGTTTCTATGCAGGGGCTGATGGTGTCCTCCAGCTTGACCCTCGCTTTATCCGGGCTGTCCCCCTTCGGAAGCGCCCGGAGAGAGAGACGGGGGCTCCTTGCCGGATCTCCAGGCGCTGCCGGAGAGCCCTGCTGCCTCTTTTGCCTTCCAGTCACGCAGGTGCCACGGTCGGGCCGGAGAAAGGGAGCTTGTCTGCAGGGCCCCGGGGGAGCTGCGCTCGCGCAAGCGTGGTCTGAGTGCGGGCAGGCTGGGGGCCAGGGTGGCTGGAAGGCAGCGGCTGCCTTCTCCCTCCCCAAGGTCACTGTTACAGCGACTGCCCTGCAAAAAAAACCCTAAACCCAACCTTCTGGGGTACAGAGGAGGGGGGCCCCGTGCTGTTGTTGGGAGGAAAGCGGAGTGCAGGGCTGCACAGTCAGGCCCAAGATACAGCCAGGCACGGCAGCAGGTTTATTTGAGTACGGATAGCGCGCTGTCTTTGCTCTGGTCCTATATGACTGCTCTGTTCACTCTGAAGCCTACTGGTGAGGCTGCACCTGGAATGCTGTGTCCAGTTCTGGGCCTCTCACTACAGGAAGGACATTGGGGTGCTGGAGCGTGTCCAGAGAAGGGCAACGAAGCTGGGGAAGGGTCTGGAGCACAGGGCTGGGGGGGCGCGGGCG